GTCGCTCACGGTCGCACGTCGTCGCGCGCCCTCTCGCTCAGTCCTTCAGTCGGCCGCCAGTTGATCTCCCACTTATTTTGAGAGATCTGCCTCAGTAGCATCCCTTTGGGCCGACCCTACTTAGCTTGCCTATCAGAGGTCATTCTTTTGCGACTCCCAGAGTCCGCATTCCTATTTCCTCACCCACACCATGCAGACACTCAAGATCGCAGGCCCGCTCGGTCTTGGTATTTGCGCGGTTTTGTACTTGCTTACGAACGTTGCCTATTTCGCAGCTGCGACCAAAGTGAGAACTTCTTTTTATCTGCGCAGCCAAGGAAACTAAATGGTTTTGATAGACCAAGATCGAAAAATCTGGTGTCACTGTCGCTGTGGTGTTTTTCGGGAACGTCTTTGGTTCTGTCGTGGAGTGTGCGCTTTCGGTTTTCATTGCTCTCAGGTGAGCTCGCTGTACTGGGTTTGAGGGTTTCCTGACTAATTTTCTTCATGATAGTGCTCTTGGAGTGAGTCCTATGTGTTTTATATCATGATATTTGTTTGATGATGTGCCGTAGAATGTTATTACTGTGGTAAGTTGAGGGATGCTATCGATTGGCTATCGAAACATGTCGCTCAATAACTTTTCATCTAGACTTTTGCTGCGTCGCGAGTAAACCAGGGTTCGTTATTCCAAGCATCATGATTTCCTATAACTCATGCTCCCACTACAGAGCTTGCAAAGGAAGGATACCCCTACCATTCGGAAACAAATTCTGGGCTTCAAACTGGCCCGCAGGGAAGTCACCACTCCCTGGGTTGATCATCCACTTGATACCCTCTGTAAGTGCCGATCTGGAACATGATATCAGTCTGAGATTGGGTTTCAAGGTCATCGTCATCATCGCGCCTCCCCCAAATATTGTTTACCCTTTCATTTTGGACGTCGAAGGATACACAGCAGATTATTAATTTCTTTATTGTCATTGTGGGTCTTTCAACTCTTTTTCTCGAGTATTTTCTTACTTCTTGATGCGTCCAGGGTCTATTCTATCTGAGATGGAAAAAGCCAGATATTATTCGGCCGTTCAAAGGTAAGCGCGCATATTGCCTTTTCTTCATGGTACGTTAATATGTATGGTGCAGTATGGTGGCCTCTCGCCGTATTCTTCTTGGGTGCTGCCTCCTTCCGTAAGTTTCTACTTTTACAACTCTAACACTCCCCTCCTGACCCAACCTCCATATAGTCCTCATCAGCTCCCTTCCTGAAACCAACCAACGGCGTCGGCGACACCCCACCGCTACCATATTACCTGTACGATTCTTCCATCACACCTATCATGCGTGTTGCTCATTTGCCGTTTGTTCAATAGGTACTGCCTCGTCGGCATCGCCCTCATGTTTGCAGGCATGTTCTACTGGGTTGCATGGCGAATCTTGTTGCCCAAGGTATTTGGGTATGAGCTTGTACCGAGGAAGGAGAGGTTGGATGATGGGACTGTTGTCACTGTGGTGAGTGTCTGTTTTTCGTGTCGGCTGGTTTTCTGTGTTTGCGAGTTTTCTGTGTCAACTGGTTTTATGGGTCTTCTGGTTCTCTGTGTCCGCTAGTTTACAGGTTGCTCACGGATCCTACTTCGCAGTTTTCAAACAAGAAGATCCAGTGAATCGAGCGTTGATCGGAAGTGATAATAAGCTGGTCTTGAAATATAAATGTGGGACTGTACATGTATCCGAGGTTGCCATCAGGGATGTGGAACCCTGATGGCACGTTTGCCAAGACTTATGCCTCGGTGACTACTTGATTTCACTGAGTCTTGCAATAATGGTATAGCACCCTCATGAATGATGATACGCCTCAGTTTGGCACCATGGCAGCGGTTTCTCTGAAAACCACGGCATATCCGACAGTCGCGCACCTTCCCTTCTCTATTCTCGAGCTGCTGGGAACAAGAGGAAGCTGGTGAAAGTTTGCACCTAGAATTGTTCCAGCCTTCTGGGATATCAAGTGAAGAAAGGAACAGAGATCACAGAAATGAGGTCGAAGATACCAGACTCATCGGATACTCTGGAAGGTGTTGCGTCATCGAGAGGTATCTCTGTCCTAGGCAGCCCTACTATGTAGGCGCTCTTCGAGTGATCATATCCCGAACGGCAGTATACTTCATTTCCTTGAATGGTCTCGAGCCTGCTGGCGAAGAACGGTTCTGCTGGGAGTACATATGAAGGGCGCGCCATGCGGAGAGCAACATGCTTACCATCGCGAAATGAAGATCGTATAACACGCTGCTACTAGTGCACACGTCAGTTTATAAGAAGGGCCTCATTTTCTCTCCCCCTCCCCCCCTTTCCTTCTGCCCGTCTGGAAAGCCATCATACTAGCAGCAAGTGACTGTATTCCACATCTGATTTGTGACTTGAATCGTCGAGCAATCTGGATAAATGCATGTCCGTTCTCGAGTTGTTCAAGCACTCGACCATTGTCTAGCCCTCGTTCCTCGCACTGCAAGAAGTCATGCCCAATTTATCTGGTGCTCAGGCTGGTACACAATTGTGGAGACAGTGCGACTCTTGCATTGCGTTTGGCACAATGCATGCTCTGTGGCGAAAGTCGAAACTTAAGTTGAAGCTTACGTCTTTTATGGGTCCGTTGTCGACGATCGTTTCTTCAACATCCGGGCCGACTGGCCTGAAACAGAGGTCGCACTGGACTACAACGGACCGATGCTCACACTCGCTGCGATGCATGTGCTCGACGACACTGCCGACCCATTCTACACATCGCTGAAAGCTGGCACTTATGACTCCAAGAAACCGCAAGGAATGCCTTGCGATGATGCATACACTGAGAGATGCGATATTCAGATTGGTGAGTAGTGTTTACTCACTGCGGCTTGTGCCCCACTCAGCCTACCCAGTGGGGATAAGGAGTCAGGGGTCGAATCGATCAAATCTGAAGTCGAGTCAGGAACCCTCACGTCAGCATTGGAAGTCAACTCATCCAACAAGGCACGTACTAGAGCTAGAGCTGCGTAGACACGGAATCCGTGGAGCTGTTCCGAATCGTGTCACGTCCCCACTGCGCATTGACGTGCGGCAGTGAGGTTTCAGTACTAGTGTGCGTACGTGGCGAATTTGTGAAGCCGGAACAAAGATGCAAGGGCAAGAGGCGCGAGGGGACAGTATATATATGTACGATGTGAGCATCGATGACATATAACTCATGGTAAGTTGATCAATTGAGCAATACAGGTCCAAGATGGAGCAAATCGGCCCATTCATCCTTTGGAGCTGCTGAGAAGTACAATATGATAATATCCCCGCGAAAAGGCGAAGGTCAAGATTTGGTTGGCCATTCACCGATATCCGCCAAGAGAGTACCATCACCAAAATTCCCCAAGTCTGAAATTACCTTATGCAGATACTTTCCCGTGCCACAATCTTTTACGGGCAGATGACGCAATGACGGTTGACTCCGTCAGACATCCCTCAACACCCTCCTATAAGGCTACCATCAGTCTGACATGCCCCTGGTAAGTTCAAATCTCCCCTGATATGTTATTACCATATCAACTGACCAATGTGTCACACGACACAACTTAACAGTTTGTTTATACCCCCGTCTCTTGGGCACGAGTTGTCCGCAGACTCTAGGGTCTGTTGGGTTTAGTATCGCTGCTTGACTGCATTAGCAACTACCACCTCAAAATGACATCACGAGTGATTCGTCACTCTTTGTTTGCGCTTTGGTGTTGTGTCGCTGCTCTCTTCGGTTCTTCCGCCCAACTGGTCCTGGTCGTTGATGTGAGCATGGTGCCTTTCCAATATTAATGTTGTATTCACGTTATTGAGTGACAGAAGGCCATTATAAATCACTAGATCTGCCGCAGCATCTCAAACTCACTGAATATTTTGATGGTATTCAAGCAAAGGCCTACAAGTGGTTTAGTTCGATTAAATCTGCTGATATTGACTTATGGCTAGCTACCAGCCACGCCGTTCACTCTTTTCCCGGTCTTCTAGACTGCAGTATTATAGTAGATGGTTGGATTCCAAGGGGGGTACCCTACATACCATCTACCTAGCTGTCGCTCAGTATCACTGATAGCACACTCTTTGCATCAGGTAACCGACCTGCAGATGATAAACCCTTAGACAGTTATATCTGATTTAAAATTTACATAATACATGTCAAAATTATACCTCGCAAAAGCTTTGAATACCTGGACTTACTACTTAGTTGGATGAAACTCGCCAATGGCTCAATGGTGACCTGGTAAGACTATTCCCCACATTCCTTACAGCAACGCCCCAACAAATATATCCACGGCGCAGGTGAGCAAGCTCTTCCTTCGTGCCATGCTTCATGCTAAATCAGACATATCATCATACAGCTCGCACTCAAGCTTTTTATTTATCCGTCCATATCATGTGTATCCATATATACTGGCTATAAGTGCCTACAACATGCCAAAGGTACGCTTTCACACTCATCTCAGCCATCTTTAACTTTACTCCCGCAGGAGACCGTTCCACGCTTACAGTCGCAACCAAAATGCGCAGGACTCCCTCGCAGGTTCTTTGATGATGTCTTTACTTTGAATCTTTTTGCAATGCATGGCTGGGTATGTGTCCAAATTTGAGACTTATCTGTCCCGCCATTCCAACTAATTTGTGTAGGGAGGCACCCGCACCCCATATTAAGGACCTCATTGATTGTCTCCAATTTCACAGTCAACCATGTCCTAAGGAAGACCATTTACGCCACTCAAACGGTGTCACGCAGTTCTTCGGCAGTACCTTTCCTTCCATATGCCAAGACCCATACATGGTTCACCAGCAGTTGAAGTCGTAGGCACACGCAAGTTTACTGTAATGTAGATCGTTTCATCTCTCGTTCCTGTTTTGATATTTTGACGCCTTACAGTATCTTGCTGCTGCCAAATTACCAGAACACAAAATAGTAGATGGCACTCGAAGTCCGCCTACACCTTCTTACCGCCCACCCACGAAGGACACCCAACGCGCCCGCACAGCCTTCCAAGCGCACCAAACCATACTCTTCCCAAGCTGCTCGTGGTATGTCTAGTTCCTCAAACATGCTTCCAATCCATATCAAGGATCGTCATCCCCTTGGGCATGCTCCTCCATGACATATATGGCATAAATTAGCCTTGACTCAGCTTACCCAACCCCCTTGTCGACAAGACCTATGCTTACCTGTCAGGAATTGTGAGCTTCAATTCCTCTTTTGTTGCATATCATGTTCACAATAGCATCAGCAAATCATGAGATTGCTTTTCCACCTTTTTTTGCACTTTTAAAAGTAACCTATTACTCATTGCAACTTATAGGGTCAAAACAGAAATAGGTTTCAAACTTCGAAAAAAATAACTTCTTGCAGGCTGGTACATATTTTGGAGGGTACCTCCAGGAGTGATATGAGCCAAGCATTAAGAAAATTGGTGGTTCAGTTATGGAGATATGGTCGAAATACTGGTATTCTGGCACACCCTCCATATCTCATCATGGACGACCTCGGAACGCTCTGGGACCATTCCCAATCGATTTATACGGTTGAAAAACCCTAGGATAGGTCCCTACAGTACCGGGTTTGGGTCAAATCGAGTCACAGCCACATATGGGGAGGAGGGGGGGGGAGGGGGACCTTGGGCATCTCGACCACCTGATTTTTTCTGGCAAATCCGGCTCGACCATCGTCTTCAGAGGGTTCAATAACCCCGGAAACAAGTCCTACATCGACCCCTGCAAGTCACGGGAAGGCTGTAAAAATCGATGTGTGTAGGGGGGAGCATGGCCTGGGTGGTCAACTTTGGAATTTGATTTTTTTATGCAAATCCGGCTTGACCATCCTTTTCCGAGGGTTCGATAACCTCGGAAACGAGTCCTACATCAACCCCTGCAAGTCATATGAAGGCTGTAAAAATCGATGTATGGGGGGGCCAGCATGGCCTAGGAGGTCAACTTCGGAATCTGATTTTTTCGTGCAAATCTGGCTCGACCACCATCTTCAGAATGCTCAATAACCTCGGAAACGAGTCCTCCATGAAGCCAGGCAAGTCATATGAAGGCTGTAAAAATTGATGTGTAGGGGGGCCAGCATGGCCTAGGAGGTCAACTTTGGAAATTGATTTATTTATGCAATTATGGCTCGACAATCCTTTTAAGAGGGTTGAATAACATCGTAAATGAGTCCTACATCAACCCCTGCAAGTCATATGAAGGCTATAAAAATCGATGTGGGGGGGGGGGGGGGGGGCCAGCATGACCTGGGTGGTCAACTTTAGTATCTGATTTCTTTGTGCAAATCTGGCTCGACCACCGTCTTCATAATCCTCAATATCCTCGACATCAAGTCCTATATCATCCCCTACAAGTCATATGAAGGCTGTAAAAATCGAGCTTAGGAGAGTGTGGTGGTAGTACTGCTTACATAAGCAAGAATGCGGTCCTCTCAGACAGGGGCCTGCTCACCACTCAATGCCACTGTCATGCACCAGCAAATACATCTTGTTGCTTTGTTGCCAAGGTTCAGAGCGTTAGATCCTGCATTTACCTTATATCAATAATCTCAGAATCAAGTCCTACATGAAGCCAGGCAAGTCATGGTCAGCATGACCTGAGTGGTCGACTTTAGAATCTGATTGTTTTGTACATCTGGCTCGACAATCCTTTTAAGAGGGTTTTATAACCTCGGACACAAGTCCTACATGAAGCCAGGCAAGTCATATGAAGGTTGTAAAA